TATTCTAAGAACTTCCACTCTGTTACCTGAACTATCCTACTATATATAATCCGCTAAGTTTGTCTGTTGGTGTGTGTGTGTGTGTTTGTTTGTGTGTGTGTTTGACCGGAAATTCATAACTTCCTTCAAAATAGCGATAAAGCGCTCAAACTTATAAGTGATGTAGGGGGTCGGGCAGGAACACTGTTGGTGGGTGGCAGGAAGTGATAACAGTTGATAAGATACCATAAGGGGCCTTATAAAGGCAAAGTCAGCAAATTCATAACGCGCGTCACAGCAAAGCTAGAGCGTTGGCTCCAAGAAGTAAGATAGGGGGCAGGATGGGAACATTATTGGTGGGTGGCAGGAAGTGATAACAGCTGATAAGATACCATAAGGAGCCTTAAAAAGAGTGAGTTACCTAATTCATAACACCGGCCACAGCAGCGATGGGACGTTGTTTCAAGAAGTTAGATAGGGGCAGGATGGGAACATTATTGGTGGGTGGCAGGACGTGATAACAGCTGATAAGCTGTTATCACGTCCTGCCACCCACCAACTGATAAACTTCAGCACCGGTGCCCAAGGAACAATGGTTAGAGGCTTCGTGAGTCAAGTATTCTATCCCTTAGCGATATGGTTACGACCGCTAAGCTCTCGAGTTTCGACGAAAATTAAAAGCCCTGGAAGCTGCTCAACGGAAGTACTAGGATGTGAGAAATGTGAGGATATATCACCATGATATCGATGTTATTACCATCGAAAGTCTTTCAACCGCTAAGCTGTCCTATTTCCAACGGATGGTGAGTGTTTCTTAGAAATGTGATAAGCACCAGACATTAGCAAACGTTCATTAAATAGGAGAATCATAATGAAATAGGCCGTATTCTAAAAAATTGTAATCGGGCGAAGTGTTCGGGGTCAATACAGAAATCCTGTCAGCGATCAGTACCATTACCATAGGTTCAACCATACGCGCAGTAGTGCGCGTCAGCTTGTTGTATTTATAATCTTTGAAGGACTTTGCTGAGTGGTTATGCTGTACTGTTGTTGTGACTTAACTGTTCTTTGGTATTGTGGTATTGGTTGCTGTCGATCCATCATGCTACCAGTATATTGATTTAATTGCCTTCATATGAAAAATCTGTCTAATATTCTCTTCGTCTTCAAGTATCCCAAGTTTGGGCTGTCCGTTATCGTCACTTGTCTCTAATTTGCAAAGATCACCATTTGATAGCCTCCTAGTCCTGCACAATATGTATGGGATAGTTTGTTTTCCGTGAAGCTGCGGTCGAGTGAGGAAGATGGTATTTTCACGATAAGGATGGGCGGGGATCAGGTGGAGATCGAGTGAAGGTTCTGGTTTTTTTAAAGGCAGTTGGCACGTTATTTTGTTAATTACCTAAAATTTAAAATTCACCTAAAATGCTAGCAGGGCGCCATATAGTGGGGAAAATGGCGAAAAAACGAAGTGAAACGGTCAAAAACTTGCGAAGAAAAGCCTTCGCTCTTGAAAACAAGTTTGGACAAATTTTCCGTAGACGTCTTGCCAATGATAACTACGGTGGATACGGCTGCATGTATGTTCTCATATATCCATTTCACTGCAATCGCGTCATACCATTCCCTTCGCCTCTAATTTACTTTGCGAATAAAGCAATACGAGCGTCAGGTACGGTCATTTATTATTATTGGGTGAGCGAAGCCGGGCCTTCGTGGCTCGAGAGAACGATGACCGAGTGGGTCGAGGCGGTAGAATCGTTGTGGACTGCGATAGTCTCTTTGAGTGGGTGCTTCCTTCAGAAAAGGCGCTACGCCAAAGCACGTGCTGCTCAGAATGTAAGATTGTGCGTTGCTATTGTACATATTCTTCTATGTGTTTCCTTGCTAGAAAATTTTATTCTGCTTCGTCGGCAAGTTTAGCACGTCCTGGCGCGAGGTGTCGGAGTCCTACTACCTGCTTCAGAGGAATTATCGTGCCAAGCTGCTTCACGCGTATGGAACTTCGAGACTTCAGCGTTGTGTGGTGAAGGAGGAATGCTAAAGGGTGTGAAGTATAATATTTCTTGCCGGCTTGCAGTGAAGCTCCAGTATTCCGGTGAACTCCCGTGTGATGTAGGTATAGGACGATCTATTGTCCAAGAAAGCAACGGTATCCAGTTTTGATGGGATTGTCACTTGGACATAGGTGTTACTGCTGTGCACATACAAGGGGGGCGGAAATTTCCGAGGACGGAGAGTGGATTGGACTGACGGCGTCGACTCGTCCGATCGGGCAATTGTTAAGACGAAGAATGGTTCTTCAGGCTAGGCAACTGTTTCCAGTTTAGTCATTGCGAAAAGTAGATTTTTCCTGGCGGGGTAAGAGGGCATAAGATGCGAGGTCATATTTTGCGCGCGCGCGGGCGTTGTGTTGTGGCTCGATAGGGCTCTTTTGAGGGTGCTTCCCTCAGAAAAGGCGCTACGCAGCACCTGCTCAGGGTCGCGGAATCCCGTCCTGGGCGGTGTCAGTCCTACTATTCTCAGAGAATTATCGTGCCAACTGCTTTCAAGCGTATGGAACTTCAGACTTCAGCGTTGTTGGTGAGGATGCTAAGGGTGTGAAGTATAATATTTCTTGCCGGCTTGCAGTGAAGCTCCAGTATTCCGGTGAACTCCCGTGTGATGTAGGTATAGGACGATCTTTGTCCAAAGGGAAAGCAGTTTGATGGGATTTGTCCATTGGACATAGGTGTTATGCTGTGCACTACAGGGGCGCGGAAAATTTCCGAGGACGGGAGAGGCTGTGCTGCTGACCGGCGCTACCGTCGACGGGTGGTCGATCGGCAATGTAAGACGAAGAATGGTTCTCAGGCTGTCCGTTAGTCATTGGAAAAGTAGATTTTCTGGGTAGAGGGAAGAGATGGAGTTGCTTGTGAAGTCTTCATCGTAGACCAATAGGACTACGGTACGACGTACCAAGAGAGTTCTGGCTCATTTAGGGAAAGTTCGACGGTTTGGAAAGCATGAAAGAGCTGTTAGTCCCATGGAGGTGAAAGCAACTAAAGGGACTCTGCAGCAGGTGCACTTAGAGGAATCTATGATCTAGCCTATATGCTATACTGTAGCAAGCCTGCGAACTAGGGAATAATTGGTGTAGTCTGCGCCCTTGCAACGTAGCGCATAAAGTTGGTTGAATATCTTCACGAATGTGCCGCGAATTCTCCCAAAGAAAGAAACTGTCAAAAATGAGAGTTTGACGAATTCGGCAACCGTTCCACTTCGAAGTCAATAAGCTTCTTCCAGTTTATATCCCTTCTTATCATCAGTTATCGATATTTCAGTGCCCTCTCCGGAACACTGTCGCTCTGGAATTGGCTTCTCCTCCGATGCTCTCTCTTTTTTCAGATTTACTCTCTTCTTGTCACGCTTGCAAATTGCTACTCATACTCGTGTGAAGGTTGGACCAGGTGCACTGTGGGCATTAATATCAGCACCGCCCCTGCGTTTACATGGCCATATAGAATGTATTACATACACTATAGTTCTCTGCGGACGGTTGGGCGTGTCAGCCAGTGAGTGTGTCACCCTATCAAAGCCGTTCTCTGCCTTCTTGTTGAAGAGCGTCTGCGACAAAAAGTGGTAGAAGACTAGTAATACGAAGGATATGATACAGTATTGTCACTTGCCCGCTTCAACAACTGGTGTAGAACGAGTTTGGCACCGCGCCAACGCAGCCGCACGGACACGCCCAACCGTCCGCAGCGAATTACACTATATGGCGTATGTAATACCACGGAAATGATAAGATCATTCATTTATTCACGAAGTAACCCGTCATTCGATGACCGGGACACAACTGCTGCAATCAGTTTCAGCATGATATGATTCGAGAGGATCACAGTTATGACACCAGTAAGTAATAAAGAGCGAATGGGGAGAGACAGTGGCGAGTGAATATATACACAATAAATATATAGGATATAGTGCATAATAAACACAATGGTTAATTTGTGGAGAGCCTTAGGCTATCGTAACGAAAGCTGCGTTGAACATCAGTTATCATAACAAAATAGCTTCAAACACTTGTATTATTTGAATTTTGTTTGTAAATAACTGTCAGTAAAATGTTACCCGTCAGATTCCAGTCAACCCCCAAAAGGGCAAAAAGCTTTTTTGTCTACCAAAAATTGCATTAAATTTGTCTATAGAGAAGAAAAAAATGCCATAAAAAACGGAACATGGGAGGCGAAAACCGTGAGACAAAAGGACGTTTTTGGCCTTCGTCATCCGCCTCGAACGCGCCCAACGATGAGCGAGAGTTTTTGGCGGAATGGCATCTCCGCAAACGTGTTTTCGAATGGTTCGGTTTTAGAATAGACAAAAGAAAGACTCATCCAGTCAAAATCTAGAAGAGAAGAAAACAATACATACAGCTCGAGATATTGTTGTGGAAAAGACCGTGTATAACGCCCACCACCGCGACATAATTGATTCAATGCCTAAGTGATTTATCGAATCAACTAGGAAGCACCCGCTGCTTTGAGCACGATCCCCGCTTTCCTGGACTACACCTGATTTGTCTAAATTTTTTTCCTCAGCAAGGGCGTCTTATAACAAGAAATCTCAGGAAGCGGAGGTATGACTGTGGATCTATGATTCCACTTTGTATACCTTGACTTACTTACTTATCTTGTGACTTCCGCAAATTTTCAACTTTTCCTTTCAGTGATGGCTACTCTTTCTCAAAGTCAAATCAAAAGATGTCTCGACCGAATGGTAGTCCACACTAGGAAAAACGGTGTTATACTTCTACAGGAGCTCAATCAAACCGAACAGGAATGTATGTTGCAGAGGAACACTGGGAGAGGGGTAAGTGGAAACGTGGTGCATATGCCCTCGAACACTGCTTCAATACGACCCACCCATACTGAAAATCAGCTCAAGAGGTCCCACCTTCTTCGCACTGGCTTTCACAGAGGGTCCACTAGTAATACATTCAGCATGTTTTTTTTTGCTAATATCGATATGAGCCCCCACAACTAGTCTGTGGTGGTGCAGCTTCTGATTAGTTCCCGTGGATTCAAGCGTGAAACATTTCGACGGCACACTGAATGACGGTCGAGGAGCACATTGCGATCGATGGTGATGTCAGTGTTTTGCATGATATCTTGAGCTTCTTTGATGAGATTCGAATGAACCGCGTTGGAGAGGTAGACCTGTAAAAGTCTTCATCGGGATAAATAAGCAGTTGTGCAATGATAGCATTCGATATTGTTTTACTCTATCTTGAACAACAAGGATCGAACAATTAGAGTTCTAACCTGAGCAACATTATCATCGATGGTGGTACTGTCGTTCATTTCTTGGCCTTCTGCACACCTCCACGCAACTCGCATTTCACTTGTTGGCCTGAAAAAAGCAAAGTATTCATTTAGGCCCCTGGAATGTTGTAGATGTATTTAATGACCCAATAAAGACACTATACAAACCTTCTTGGAATGGACGTCTGGTGAATCAGCACTCCTTCAGCTGTTGGGAAGTTCACAATGCAGTGGTACATTGATGGCATCGCAGCATTTCCGTTCTAAGTTCATTAGTGAACCAGTTTATTTACAAAGAAACAAACAATTTGACCCAGGGGCGCTGAAAACTGTGAGTTGTAGGCAAACTAGCCCCAACCTAGCCAACTAGACTAGTCTCAAGTATGTACATACGTTTTCTAATGACTGTCTTTGTTCTTTGCGCGATGACGACCCCACCCCTACTTCCACTTCTTTGACAGTTTTTCAACAGAAACCTCAAGCTGAATGCTCAGTGAAACCTTTGTATAAAAAACACAACACAACGGTCATGATATGCAACACTGAGCAGAACAAAGCAAATTAAAAGTGATAAACTAGTCAGCTAGTTTATTGCCGGAGGTCGTGGGTGCGATAATTTGGATAAGATGTCGAAGAATGGATGTCGAGTAAAAAGGGACAGGCTACTTGAGCAGACCATGTGCGGCGAGTTTCGCAGCGTGTGAACTTTGCAAGACCCAACCGTCATTCAAGACGTCGAAAAAACTCTGAACCTTCCATCGATTAGATGACACCCTTTGCCCTTGTGCCCTTTGGCCGGAGGAAGTTGAGATCCTTCCAGGGAAAGAAAACTTAGGGGGGGGGGGAAGCGGCCTTCATTCGAACGAAATGGACGAAATTTCCCAGCATTTTTTTGTTTCGCTTTTTTCCTCAGTGGGATGGGCAATAGAGCCATGTTTTCTGTTTGATTTAGCCGCTGATCGACTTCATGGTGGTCCGACACCGTTGATGTGCCAAATGGAACGGAACCACGGCCCAACCACGCGCGCGTGAGCCCACCGATCATAGGAAAGGAAGTTCGTTTTCCGTTTGTAAGAGCCCGAAAGTGTAGGAGCTCCATGTCAAATACAGAACATCTGAGAAGTGTGTCAATCGAGCGGTCGTTAGAAGTGGTCACTATAGAGGTTGAAGAACGGCACGCTCCCCTCCGAAGAGGATCCTCGCCATCTGCGAAGGGAATGGGCCTGCAGCTGCAGGATCTTGTCACTTCCTCCGCTTGAGTACACAAGAAACAAGTTGTAGGGTAGCGATACCCGAGTTCAGTCTCCTCGCCAGCTATCTTCGAGGTGCAGCTGTTGAGGCGATACCAAGGTTTCCTGGCAGAATACGCACCGGGGCAGTGTATAGAGACGGCACTCGGGCATTCGGTTGCCGTGCACTTTAACTGGACGAAGTGGTACGCTACTGTCTGCGGACCGATTCTCCCTGTACCTGGCAAGACAAGGATACGGGAAAGAGTATGCAAATCAAAGCTGGAATGTTGCTTATCGAAGAGCACAAAATGAACACAAAAATCGATCAAAAGTCTGCTGGGTTATGAGCAAAAGTCGAACCCCAGGCGGAAGTTGAACCCGCAGCTCATGCTTTCCGAGCGACTGCGCTATCCGTTACGTTATCAGGACCGCTCCTACCCTCTTAGCTCAACGCTGGTGAGCCGATCAGCCGCAATCGTTGGATATGGGCAATGAATCGCTTGTCGAAGGCTTTACAAGTTTTTGAAGTTAGCATTATTGATAACTGCTATTTTACGCCGCACTTCGCGTTCCGAAAGTTATCACAAGAATTCTGAGTTATGTGCAAAAAGTCAAACTCCAGGTGGGCAGCTTTTCCTCATAAGTCAGCATTTTTTTGTGATAAGTTCCGGAATGCGAACTGCAGCGTAAAAGGTTATCATGTAAAACAACTTCGAAGACAAAAAGTTATGTAGAGAGTTCTGGTATACTCGCATTGGTCGCATTAGGTGTTCATGCTAATAGGCTTATCTTTAGGACTGGAAGAGAACTTCCCTGAGAGAACAGTTCAGAAAAAAACAGTACACTGACGAGAAGGACTGTAAAATCTAGCAGGCTAAAAGCGAAAAAACGCGCGTATTGAAGAAACAGCGATAGTGCAGGGATCGTGCACCTCAAAATGGGAACTAGCTCGAAAATAAATCATCTAAAAAATCTTGATTCAATTGCATTGCCCATCGATAGAGGGATGTACTCACTGGTCGTGTTCCTTGTCAACGTGATTGAGGCAAGGAGCTCTTTACGACTTATTAGTGTGTTTGTGTCATGAGGTTTTGTTGTTTTTCTCACCTGGAAGTTGTCGTCAGAGTCGTAATGGCTCTCGATCACCACCGTTTCCCACGGTGTTAGCGACCGCGATATGGACATCAACGTTCGGAGCGTTTCCGATTCTGGCTCTAGCGCAAATCCAAGGAAGAAAATATCGTTATGGTCCTAGAAGCAACATATAAAAATAATAGATGGAATTGATTCCACTCCCTATTACATTTCATGGTTTTTGGTTCCCACCCAGAGGAAAAGCTAGCCCTAGTCCCTTGGAGAGAATAAACAAATTCAATCTACCCAATCATCAGTGCATTCCTACTCTGGCCTTGGACTTCCCATTTAGAAGACCTGAGGGCAAAAGATAGAAGTGCATCAATGCGCAAAGTGAAAATTCTTGCATACCTTATAGAAACCTTTGATAAATATAGCACCCGTATAGCCTTTCGCAAAGGTCGCTTTAATCACCTGAAATTGCCGTTGTTATTCTAAGGCAGCCACACTGAACTATGACAACAGTCTTGATCGCCCCGTATTCACTTTTTCGTGTACATAAACACTCCATAGGGGGGAGGTATACGGGGAGCGGCAAAAAAGTCACTTTTCTTCATTGACTTTCGAGGCGCTATAAGTTACACTTTATTGAATTCTGATCGGACATTTTCACCACCATATTAAAGAGCATATTAAATACTATCATGACACTCCGCCACAGCCTTCTGGACGAGTACGCGACCGCGATGTGGTGCCTGAGATCAGCGAGATAGCCGATTTCTCCTAATTGAGGGGATTCAGGTCAGTTGACCTACTTGGATATTCCATCTTCTTAGGTACTCAGCCCCCTTCCATTCAAGTAGGCGAGAGTTTCTCCAACGCCCTTCGATTCCATGTGGTGGCACCCAATGCTGTAGCAGTACAAAGTTTCCAAGAAGGTACGGGCGACGACATGTGAGGAGGATATTCTTCACGAGTTGCTCAATGTAACCGCCAGCGCTCACCTTCAGTCCGGGGTCCACGAAGAAAATATTGGTCTTTCCATTCCAGGTACGTCCGGTCCATACCATCAACCCGCGCCTTGGCGACTGTGGTGAAGATGATGTCCTAGACCGTGGCGACGTTGTCGGAGCTGCTCGATGTTGGAGGTCATCCAGATCGAGAGTACTGGTCTCAGGTAGCTATCCATGGGTGACTCCATACTAGAAGTTTCGCAGCTGTTTGGAGGTGACATGAATTCTCCAGTCAGGCTGCGACTGGAGATGACTTCATATTTTGGTGTACATGAAGGTGATGGGCGAGAGCCAGCTCCTGCTTATCGAGGAACATCTTGGGTATCTTCCGCCCTGGTACTCGTATCCACGTCCTCTGTCTGGGCAGCGAAAACTTTGCTGATATGTGACTCGGTCGAAGTGACTTTTTTTTGCCCCCCCCTGTATTCGGATGAGGAGTGTTAGGTCCCATCCTAGAAAGGGGCAATATAGGCATCGCAAGTGGGTGGCTCACGTATGTAGTATTCCAGAGTGGCAAGAGTGCGCGGGAGTATAGAAGGCCTGTGGAGAAGACGAGATAAGAGAAGTGATACAACCGCCCCTTTTATAAGGCAAACACAACAACCAATTATCACTGTATTTGTTGTTGATCATAGTCTTCTCAGAAATAACACGGTCGGTTTGGTAAGGTTTATAGAGAGATTCTCTGTATTTCGGCTGGAGAATATGGAGGAATCAGTATCTCACAAGCCTACGGAAAAAAACACAAATTGCTGATGAATGGGCAAAACCGGAACCCAGAGAAAACCAGCACGAGGCACTGTGGTACTTGTTTCTGATCAAGTACTTCTGCGGAACTCTTGGAAGATAGGACGAATACACGTTGTGATTTGCTCAACAAAAGGAGGGATTTGCGAGGCGCACATCAGACTACCAAATGGACATACTATCCGACGACCTGTAACCTCCTTGTTCCACTCGAACTTGAAGACGAACTAGAAGCTGCTCCAGAAACAACAGAAACAATAAAAACCGGAAACGATAACGAGGAGACAACCAGCCGTAGAAGCCTCCAACAGCAGGACAACCACTATAATCCAAGACCGCGTCAGCACACGCACTATAAGGAAGATCAAAGATCAGAAGACACAGAAGACATTCGTGCAAGCAGGAATAATAATCACAGATTCATCACAAAGACGAAGCAGACGACAACCTGCAAGAACGCCCGCCCCGGAGTATAGAGAATCTCTCTCTATGAACCTTACCGAAGCGACCGTGTTATTCCTGAGAAGACTATGATCATCAACAAATACAGTGATAATGATTGTTGTGATTGCCTTATAAAAGGGGCGGTTGTTCACAATAAACACTTCACTTCTCTTCTCTCATCTCGTCTTCTCCACCGGCCGTCTACACTCCCGCACACTTCGCCAGAACTCGGTCGAAGTGACCCTTTGGTTTTTGCCTCACTCCTCTATTCGGGTGAGGAGTGTTAGGTCCCAGTCGTAGAAAAGAGGCAATATAGGCATCGCAAGTGGGGTCCAATCCATTTAACGAAACAGTGCTACGTGTTCCGATTCTCTCTACTTGCTCTGTATCTACATCTTTCAAGTAGACTCATTCTTTTGGTGCCTCTTTAATGAATAGCTAGGAAATGACCTATTACTGCGAGCGGTATCGCGGCTAGAAATAAAGCTCCACACCAGTGACAGCATTGGGTCTATGTGAACAAAAAAGTTGCTGGTTCAGGCAGGAAAGGGTGACAAGTCTGGCAGTGTCTACCTTTGGTAAGCACATAGCCTCCATCCCTGCCTGAGTCTTGCTCTTAGAGCCGCTGCACTCATAACCAAATCCTGGACACGCCTCCTCTATCACTGTAATATGGACTATCCTCTTATTTTACCTGGGTAGCAAACGATTCCACACCAGGCAGATGATCTCGTGTTT